AACCAATTGTGAAAGAGAGGATGTGACGGGTGGGTGTGGCAGGAGGGCTCTGATTTTCTCTTTGATAGCTCTGTAACAAAACAGAATAGAGTTCATTAAAATTATGGTCTGTTTTAGCAATAACGATTTTATAGAGAGCATTTTACATTTAATTTCATATATTTTCGAGGGGTGCTGGATAAAATAGGGATGATGACGTGCTAAGACAAAATATGTCACGTTGGTCACACTAGTGGAAATTCGGGATTTGTTTTTTATATTTCAGTATAGAATTAAGAACTTAAAACTTGTATACTTATAAAATATTTTGTATTATTAGCTAAGATGTTATGCTATTTTAATTGGTATAATCTAAACAAAAAGTAGTTTAATAAAATTTTGAATATAAGACACTAAAACCTTGTGTCATGTGTAGTAAGGGTTCCCAGGGCAATGGGGTTAAAGAGTTCTTCCTATGCACTAAACTTCTATGTATAGACAGAAACTAGGTTAATTGCTCTGTATACTAGTAAAATATGTATTATTAGCTAAGATGTTATGCTATTTTAATTGGTATAATGTAAACAAAAAAGTAGTGTAATAAAATTTTGAATGTAAGACACTAAAACCTTGTGTCATGCATAGTAAGGGTACCCGGGGCAACAGGGTTAAAGAGTTCTTCCTATGCACTAAATTTCTATGTATAGACAGAAACTAGGTTAATTGCTCTGTTTACGAATTCTTCTTTCAAGCTCCTTAGGGCACATTCAGAGAAAATAAAATAAATTTCATGGAACTCTTGATAGATGCCATGCCCAATCTCTACACATACAGTTGTGATTTCTCAGCCAATTATACTTAGTTGTCTTAGATGTTTGTAACAAACAGGAAGCCACATTTTGTTATACTATTTCTCAATAGTTGTATTAAAATTTATATGAAGAATTCCATTGAGAACTTTTAAAATGCTCTTAAAATTGTTGCTGCTTGCATCCACGTTAGCAATTTAGTGTTGTTTCTCACCCATAAACATGTTAGATAGGTAGACAATCAAATGTTACTTAGGTTTTAGTTTTATATGTTAGTTATGTATTAAAATACATATTAGAGAGGTTTAATAATTTTTGAAATGTAAGCCAAACTGTCTCGGTTTATCAGGCTTAGTGTAGTAGACAAATGGGGGGGTCACTCTCAGGTAAGGCAGTCTCTCACCTTATTCACTGTGAGATGGAGAGATATACTCAGTCCAATGGTGTTTCTACAAGGGGCTCTGAGGCTGCACTTGCTAGTGATCCTGGACATTCTGGATAGAATTTAGATTCTCCTTTTCCAGCATCTTCCTATATTTCGTTGGCTTCAGGAGATTGACATCAGGTCATCGATCTTTCTCATCAATGTCAATTCCTAGATCCTCCAAGGTTCACAATGGAATCATTCTTCACTCTGCTTTGGCATTTTTTACCAAGACTGTGGATGACCAAGTTCAATGTTGCTGATGCCTATCTGCACATTCCCATTAGTGGAGTTGTCCCACCACTATTTGCTTTTTGTGCACAAGTGTCAAGTGCACAAAAGTTAAAGCTTTGGACTAGCATTGGCATCGTGTGTGTTCTGCCGATTCATACAAACTTTTTCTCCTCACCTTGATTCCCTAGGCTTGTGCATACACCATTACATGGATGACTGGTTACTGCTAGCACCATCTTATGAGTTGATGGAACATCACACCCAGATTCTACTTTCAGAAGCAACCAAGGCAGGCTTTATTAACAGAGCTGAGAAATCTATTCTCACTCCACCACAATATATCGCCCATCTGGGTGTCTTTTTAAAAATGTATCTCATCTGGCTTCCCACTATGGAACAAGCAGTCCAATTCTTACTCACCTTTCCTTCTCTCACTGTGGGGATGGTTCTTTCTTTTTTGGGGATGTGGGCATCACTCAAATCCCTCATTCCTTTGGGACACATGAGATCTCTTCAGTGGTCTATACGTGACCAATGGATCATGAAAAGCAATTCCCTGGATTCCTTAGTCTCCTTATTCAGGATCAACATCTTCAATCTCGAGTGATGATTAGATGCAAACAATACAATGATAGGTGTTCCTCTACCCCCACCTCATCCAGAGATCCATCTCTTCATGGATGCTTTGATTTAGAGATAGGGTACATATCTCAATGGTCAGGAATTCCAGGGCCATGGACAGACGATGAAGCTTCCCTACATTTTAGAACTTCTTGATGTTCAATGGGTGATGTCTCAAGGTCTGGACTTCTTAAAGGGAAATGTCATCATGATTCACTTTGACAATTTCACGGTGGTGTCTTACATTTCCCATCAAGGGGGTACTTGGTTCAGGTCTCTTTGTTCTTGATTCTTGGATTTTCTTTATTGGGCCCACTCCCATCATATCATCTTACTAGCTTGCTATGTTCCAGGGGGTGATGAATTTGGTGGCAGATCAATTGTCTTACCCAATGGGATTCTTTCGACAGAATGGATGCTGCATCGCAAGATTTTCTGTTGGATTTGCTCATGGTTAGGGACACTGATGCTCGATGCATTTGCCACTCATTGAAACACTCAACTGCCAGCATTTTGGTCTTTGGTAACTCACCTTGGGCATTCAGTCGGGACTGGATGGGATTGCACCTCTATGCCTTCCCACTGATTTGTATGTTACCAAGAGTACTTGCTATGATTTGTTCAACCCCTTGTTGGGTTCTGTTGATAGCACCAGATTGGCCAGTTCAACCCTGGTTTCTGCTTCTGTGGTACCTTCATGTGTGCCACCTCTTCCACTTCCTCTTTGACCATATCTGTTGAGACAGCCACAATCTGACATTGCACATCCAGCCATCCTGAAGCTCAAGCTTCATGCATGGAGATTATGCAGTCCTTCACACGGCATCAGGATTTAACTTCTAAGGTTGCTATGTATCTGTCTCAGTCTTTGCATAGTCCCATGATCGACATTTATCAATGGAAATGGCACACATATTGACACTAGTGTATTGCGAGGAGGTTGAACCCACTTCATCTAGAAGTGC